AAACAAAACAAAAAACATTTCATAATAAGTAGCAAAAACATGGTTTGTGTTTCATTTTTATGATGCTGTTTTATAATTAAATACTTGGTTTCGGCCTGCTAATCCCTGAAGATCATCCTGATATTTTGACCATGTTATTCAGTTAGTCAGAGGTTGTTTTGACCTTTATTTCCCTGCCTGTACCTGTATAGCTCCCAGCTTTGTCTAGAACGAAAGCTGCACATATCTGCAGCTTGAGTCACACAAAGACACGTTCACCTCTGTGTCTGGAGAGTGTTTTCCCTCCTCCACATAAATAAAACAACTGCCATGTACCTCATCCAAATGTGACACCTTTACTAATTCACACTGTGCCCACAGCAGTGTGTATGTTTTGGAAATAATAACCAGGAGGTATCTTGGAGGTGGGGAGGTTGTGTGGGCAGTGATTTATTTCCTGTTTGTTTTTCAGGCTCACCCACCTACCGCTTTCTCTGACGACGCTACAGCTGAAGGCCTTATGGCTGTCAGAAAACCAGTCGCAGCCGCTCCTCACCTTTCAGACTGATCAGGACCCTAAGTCAGGCGAGAAGGTGCTTACCTGCGTGCTGCTCCCTCAACAGCCAAGTGATGACAAAGGTAATGTTATTCATCGAGTATAAGCTAATAAGATAATTATGGAGGTTTGAGTGTAGAGAAAAACATTTTTCTCACTGGTTGATTGAAATCACTCTGCTTCTTTGCATGTGAGAACTTTGTGTGAATAAACATAGAAGTGGATCAGCGTCTCCGTGCTCTTAAAGTGATGGGCTTCGTCCAGAGTGAAATAACTCTGTGCTCGCTCTGAGACATTTTTAGTAATGTTCATCGTTAAGTCTTGTACCGTCTCCTGCAGTTTTCGTGACATTATCACATGATCTGCTTGGAGGAGCACAGTGTGTTCTGCAGCCTCTGATCCCTTTCTGCAGTATCTGTCGATTAGAAGGTCCTGTAAGGGATCACAGCGCCTATAACAGATCAGGCCCTCTCTTGTCCCTTGAGGCCCTCTTACAATATGTTTTTCAGAAATGTGGATTGGACAGCTAAAGAGGCTTAAAAGCGCCTGGCTTGCTGCCATTAAAAGCTCACAAACTGGGTACAGACATGCTGCTGACGGCTGGCTCTATCGCTGCCTGATACAGCAGATTATTGTAATTTTTAATTTTTTTCTGTCCTGTCATTGACAGATTTTCACACAGATTTGTAAATATTTGTGATATGCTTGCTGATCACTTTATTTTTCATGTTGTTTTCTGCCAGCAAAAATAATTAGCAAATTCATCCGTTGATTTTGAGAAGTGCTGCATGTCTCCTGTCAGAGAAATGCAGCTATGAAGCTGGCGGAAGTGGGGAAAGTGAGGCTGAGGTTGGGGGCAGGGAAGATTGTGTTGCTGTAAGCCTGTGACTAAGCTCAGATTTGAAATGGTGATCTGACAGTTTCAGGCTCGCTCATTAGCACTGGACAGCTTTTATTTCGTGTTTGCAGATTGCAAACATTGCAGAAGTAATCGTAGCCATACTGATTTTGATCTGTTGACATGTTTGCTTTTAGCTTGTACTAACATATTTATTTGAATTCCAGTAATATTAAATATGCTGTTTGTTTTAAAAACAACCCCAGGCTCTGATAATCTTGCCCGCTGCGGAGGTATGGAGAGCTTGGTGAATGACATTGCTAACGAAACATGGGACAACAACGCTGTGAACAGGACCAGCGTCATTCACTTCGTAGATGGAGATGATGTCGACGATGACGACGATCCGGTGAGTCCATAGGCTGCATATAAAAGATGGATGCAATCTTAGAACTCCCATTTTTAAAGCAAGATTTGAACATTTGAGCACAATTTAATTATTTAGCAAGCTTTACCAAGAAGCAAGCTTGGTTAGCTTCCATAGATTTTAATGGGTATATGTCCTCATCTGTATTAAATATGCCATAAATAAGGTTATGGGGATTGCCTCAAGCGACTTTTTTTAGGAACTCTGATCGTTTTATATCCACAGCCTTGGGGTAGGACAGTCATGCTAAAGTGCTACAAATTACTGCAAATAATAATAATAATGTTTTCTGGTATCTTATTTTGACAAATCATGAATGCAAGGCACGTGCATCGAGCATCACAGTCTGCTGTCATGTAAACATTGTTCTTCAGCTCTCTCCAAGGCAATTTAAGCAGATTTTAAAAAGCATCCCACTAATTAGATTCTGTTTCATCTACACAGGGAACACTACTTCGACGAGCCACGCCTCACCCCGACCAGCTGAAAAGTATGAAGAGAGCAGCAGAGAACCTCCGCAACGACATGAATGCCGCCAAAGGGCTGGACTCCAACAAAAATGAGGTCAATAACGCTGCGGACAGCGTGACCACGTCTGTGTGACCTTTACCTCAGAAATGTCTTTTACCTCCTGTGTCTCGCCGTGTTGTCCTGCACAACCCAGTTACCCCTTTTCTCCTTTACCTACAAACCCTGGTGTGGCCTACCCCTCCTGTGATTAAACCCTAGGGCGCCTGTAACCTTACTCTATCTCCAGTCTTGTGTAAATCCCACTCAGTCTACCAGGGCTGCTGTGCCTTCAATTTTTAAAAAATTATTGTCCACAGGAATTTTCTGCACAGAGAGACTCCTTTTAAAAGACATTTTAGAGATTTATTACTTTTTTTAAATGGCTCATTTTAAGAATATAATTTAGGTAGTTGCACTATTATAAGTCTTTATCAATGTGGTCAAACCTTTTAAATGTATTATTATATATATGTTCTATATATTTTTTAAAACACTGGGTGAATACTTCTTTTTACCTTTTGGGCAAACAAACCAGGATTTTTTTTTTGGACCTACTGATTAAGGATTATTGTACATACTCTTGTGAATATTGATACTTTTATACTTTTTGGCAGCTCAGATGTAAATAAAATGTATAGCAAATTTCTTAATCATTTGCAATTTCAAAACTTTTTTTCCCCTTTTGCAAACGTGGTACATTTGTCTTTCTTTGTTTTTCTTGGTTTAAATCAAAGCAATGAACAAAACACAGTCACTTATGTCTTATTCAACCAATATAACTGTGATCGGATGAGTGGATGGCCTTGGATCCTCATATTAATCTATGAAACATCTAGACCCATAATTTTGGAAATAAATAGATTAATTTAGTTTGGATTTAAGTACTGCACACTAAATTTGAATTACGCATCTGCAATGTAACTATGCAGAAGTAAAAATGCTATCTTATTATAATATGTGCTGTGCTTCACTGCTTTGCAATCTTTTTCAAATAGATGCCAAAAACAGATGTATTTTTCTTTGTCTTTAACAAAGAGTACTGTCAAGAATAATCATTGGAAGTTTGAGGTTTTTACCACAGTGTCGGCATTCTTTACAAATGTAGTCGATAAAGTTCCTTTTCAATACACTTTTCAGCTTTGCTCAAATCCTGTTCTTGAGATGGTACACGATCAGCTGTATCATTTTGTTTTTAAACTGAAAAAAGTGGACCAGGGAAATTGGTTCAAATGTTGGTTTTAATGTTTTTAGCTGTTTTCTGATCAAACTGCACAAAACAGATCTCAAATAGGTGGTGAGCCTGGGGATTTGGATGACTTTCTAACCACTGATCAATAAAATGAGTGCAACACTAAACGATATGTTTGTTTCTCCTTTAATTTCATTAGTCACCCTGTATAATTCAGATTACAATTTAATATTTACTTCTTCTTTTTCTTTTTTTTTAAATTGAAATACATTTGGTGGGATCTATCTCCCTGTCCAAAAATAATATATTTTCAAAGTAAGCTTAGAGTGGACCCGTCTCATTCTTGGCCCTTTCACGCTTGTTCTGTCTGTCCGGAAGTGCATGATATTTCTGTAATGCTTTGCAGGCATGACTTGTTTATCCTGCATGTGCTGCATGTTGTTTTGCTGCTGGCATGCTTCCACTTCAATGCATATATGTTTTAAAACGTTTAAGGGAATGCTGAATCATCATGTAACACAAAGTCAGGTAAACTTGGGGGGATATCAGCCTGTCTAGTTTATACACTAGTCTAAGATTTATAAACTACTTTGAATCCATTTCATACTTTGGTTCAAATGAAAGTGACGTCAGATGACCTGGAGAGGCAACAAGAATATAACCCCCATTAGGCAATGTCTTTGTAGGTGGTGGCCACAGATCATTTCTCTCCTTATCCCCACTGGACCGATGTTTCTTCAGTTTTGCTTTCTGTGAATGCCCTCACCATGACGGATAGCGTGATATGGTACCTGCAGCCCAGTCATGGTGCACAGATAGACCAGCTCTTCCAGGATGGCATATACGTTGCAAGAAGGTTTAGTGTGTCTCCTTGCACAATCTCAACACTGTAGAAGAGGCAACAGAAGACAACCTATATACAAGAACACTTGGACAGGGGCCATGGAAGGGATCAACCCAGCGGCAAGACCGGTATCTACTCGTACAAGAAGAGGACAGCTTCACGGTCTCTTCACGTTGCACAGGTCCTTGTACAGTGACAAGGACACTAGAAAAAAGCACATCTAGAGAAAAATCAGTCAGGAGGGTAAAGAGTGTCTCTGGTGTCCCTCAAGGGTCAGTGCTGGGACCATTTACGATTTATCTCCTCTGTCCAGAGACAGACTTTCATCATTTTGGTGTACAGTTTCATTTTTATGACTCTTTTTCTACAAAACCAAGAACCTCTCTTTCCTCCCCCTTTTCTTATCTCCATTACCTCAATCAGACCAAACTCAGTGACAATAAAATGCAAGTTTTTACAAAATTCCGCCCTTTTGTTGTCTCTATAGATGGATGTCAGGTCCACAGTGTCAAAAGTCTTGGAATCATCTTGGACAATACTCTCTCCTCTACTGCCCACATCAGTAATGCCTAATTCCACCTATGTAGCATTTCTAGACTACACCCTTTTCTCTCTGAACACAGCACACAAGTCCCCCCCCCCCCAAAACCTCTCCTTAATCCATTTCAAATGGTACAGAACTCAGCATGAGTCATCACCCTCATCGAGTCTATTACACCTATTCATATCCAGCTTCACTGACTCCCTATTCCTCAGTGTATCCAATACAAGATTTCTCTTCTTACTTTTCTCCTCCTTTCCAAGGCACTTAGCACTCCTGTAACTTTTAGACCTCACTCCTCACATCCCTTCCAGCAGCTTCAGCTGCTCTTCTGATTGCTGCTCACTTCAGGCATCATGGGTGCCTTTAACTGTGCTGCACCTTTGCATCTGATTGCCACTTCACCTTTGTCAGCTAGACTCTATGACGTAATTCAAATCGAAACTCAAAAACAATATTTTGTTTTATGTTTTAAGTTCATATTATTTGTGTCTTTAAGTGTCTTTCACGGTCGTTCATGTTTTAATATTTTGTTATAAGGTGACCTTGAGTGCTTTGAACAGCACCAAAAAATGGATGTATAATTATTGTTATTAGGGGGAGAGCAATAGTCTGTGGACAGCACATATGGATCTGCCATGGCCTGCAAAACCATCCTCTTTTTCGAGGTGTTGTCCTGTTTTTGGCTGTTGTCACTTTCATTTGCACCAACGGAGGTGAAAGAGATTCACAATGGTTTGTTTCCTAATTAAATAGATTGACATCCCTGAAGTTTGACTGACTTCATGCTATATTGAGATGACAAAGTGTTGTCTTAATTTATTTTGAGCAGTGTATATACAGTATATATAGTGTTCTCCAGTCCACACCCAAACACAGTGAAACTGGAGCTACAGATCAAAGGGGCACACGTATGTATTGATCTGTTATCTTAGTTCGAGGCATCAAAAAGTAAGCTAGTACTCATGCACTTTTAAATTGGATCAAACATTTAAAGACAAGTGTACTAGCCTTGGTACTGAAAGAAGTTTTAATCTTTTTTTGTGAGTTATTAAAAAGCTTTCACTGACCTGTTTGTATTGATACATTTAGCACTGCCTCAAGTGACCTTCTACTGTTTTAAAGTATGGGCTCCATAAGTGAGACCAATGTGTTTAAAGCATGTCATCATTCTTTACTCCTTCTTTTCCTTGCTTCAGTCATACAGTCATGGGAAGGAAAAATTGTGGCAAAAATTAGAGAAAGAAAGATGAATTCAGCTTTTGTCTTTGTGGCTCTTCAGAGCTTTAAAACTATGTAAGGGAAAAGGTACTGCAGTAGGATACTGACGGTTTTGATGTACTGTGGTGCACAAAATCCTAATGGTCTCTCCTAGCAAGCATTAACATTGTCCCAGGACCAGAATGGCAACCAAGTTGGTCCTTTGCTACAGACAACTGTACATTTGCATTCAAGGTTTACTTAACCCTGAGCCATCATTGTCATTAGATCGTTTCTACAAAACATCTCATTGACTTTCAAATTTTCAGCAGCAGGCACTGTCTTCTGACCAACTCCAGGAGTGTAGAAATCCTCATACTAACCAGCCCCTCAGGACCACTTCAAAAACCTGGGTCATCCCAGGCTTCAGCTGGGTGGCAAGCAGAGAGCGTCTACAGGAGGAATCTCAGGTGCTGCCACCCAGTGACAGTGTGTGCAGTCGCTTCACAGAGGAGGACGGAAAGGAAATGAAACAACCCGAGGAGGTTTGTAGTCCAGCCTAGATATCTCAATCAGATGAGATTGCTTAATTTGTTATCTCTTAAAGCTTCTCTGCTCCCCTTCTTCACCAATTAAAGATTTTACATCCTGTGCCAAGAAACTTTCGTAACTGGAGATTTCATTCTTCTGATAATCAGTGTCTTTCATAAGCCCAGTGAATAAAATTTAAATGTTGTCATCTATATATGTCACAGAAAGCCAGTAAAACCATGAAATTATTTCTTATCACCAGGCTGGTGCAGACGAGCTGTCAGAGTGTGATGCCTTACCTCGTCTGTTTCGCCACCAGAGAGTTGAAACCCAAGAGTGCAGGAAATTTCAGCATCACAAAGCTCTTATTAAAGTGGGCTCTTTTCCCCATGGAGACCCCGTCCACAGCATAAACATCCCATCCATCACAGTGCATCAGAAATCTTCTGTGGTGACCGAGAAGTCCCTTCTTCAGGAATCATTCATCTCCCAAGTGCCATTAAGAGTAACTTCAGTCTTTCTTAAATGTCACATTGCATCTGCAGGATTACTGTAGTCACTGCAGAGAAGTGTGTTCATTCTGTTAAATTGTTACTAATTGATTTTAAATATACCAGGGAGTGTTGCTCCATCAGGCCTCAAATTACAGGATTTTAGCCTTTTAACGCTAACAAAACTATTTCCTTTAGTTACAGATCAAAGTGTCTGGTCAGAGGGGTAGTTTGGGAATCAGCATAGCTGGTGGAAAGGGCTCACTGCCTTACAAAGATCACGATGAGGTGAGTGCTGGTGGAGGAGCGTCGGGTATTGCTCAATCTCTTGCAACACTGTACATTTATAGCGCATCGTTTGGCTGCCTGACTGAAGATGATGAGAAGCAGCTGCCGAGGTTCTCATGGATTTGCTGGTTTTAGTCAAACTCGTATAGATCTGTGTGCAACTTGAAGAGATTACCCAGTCACAAAAGGCTTTCGTTACATACTTAAACAATAATTTCATCCAAGGTTATTGTGTCTGTTTCTTTTCAGGGCATTTTTATTTCCAGAGTAACTGCAGGGGGGCCATCTGAAAAGGCTGGAATCCATGTTGGAGACAGACTGCTGGAGGTATTTGTAATAATTATTAATAACTTCTGATTTAATCAATATGTGCAAAGGTCTTGAGCCACCTCTCATCTCTTTATATTTTGCTTCCAAGCAGCCTTTTTAAAAGTGGTCAAGCAATAATTCTCCAGGCTTTCTGAAGGTCTTTTCAAAGTTTCTCTTTCCCACATTTTCAGCCCTGTACCTGAACATTTTCAGTTGTATCCACTTTGTTACAAGCC